TTTAAGTATAATTTAAAACACCAACGCTTAAACTACAGCCCTAAATGTTATCAAGGACTGAAAGCATCTATTATCCATATTACACTTTCTTCAATATTAAGTTTAATAAAACGCTCTATGTCCATATATTTCTCTACTCTCTAAAAATGAATTAGTGACTAATTATTAGTCAAAAATGACTAATTTAATAGTTATTAGTGTCTGCTTTTTCACTTGTACCATGGTTAACCATGGAATGCCATGGTATCCCAAAATTTAACAATTCTTATGTAAAATTGTCCCCTGAATCCGAAAATACCGTGAAAATTTATGAAAGTGGAGCAGTTTTTGAGATATAGTCAATTCCATATTAAATGAAAAATTGACCATATCTCAAAAGCTGTTCTACTTTTTTAACTTAACTTAACTTAACTAATTTTGTCATACCATGGTTTTCCATGGTTAACCATGGTACAAGTGAAAAAGCAGCCACTTATAACTATTAAATTAGTCATTTTTGACATTCATTTTTAGAGAGTATTTTCTTTGATAATATTACTATTATTCGTATATTCGCACGGCAACTACTCATCAAGTGACGTCATGCGCGGCACGAACCAAAACTCGTACACTGTAGCATCCAGCCCTGCGCTTAAGGCATTTTAATTAATTTAATATAAAGTTTAAACGTGTTTGTTTGTTTGTTTCCAATTTGACTTTGTTTATTTCCATTTTGAACGTGTTAGTTACCAATTAAAAGTTGATTAATCCCAATTTAAAACTGTTACATTCCAAATTGAAATTGATTAGTTCCAATTTGAAGTTGAAAAGGTATAGTTGTATAAAAACAAATTTTTTTTTACAAGTTCCTTGATCTCGTAGAAGGTAAATTATACTATATTTTATATTTATGTTCTTTAAATTGCTAGGATACTTAAGATGCCTTGTTGATATTAAAAATATATAAAATATTTGGTCGACTGTAATTCACTTTATTGTGACAATTTTTGTTCCTGTCATTATATATCATTTTATATATAATGATTATTTATGGGGAGTGTGGACTAGAGTGGAATTCCGCCGGTGATTGCTGAAACAAGAGGATCTCCAGCCAAATTTTGTTTCTAAAACTTTGGCTCTGGGGTACAGCACTAGTTAGAGATTTTTACTTTAAAAAATTGGCGTTCTGAACTGGGACAGTCGTTTTTGAAAGGTTTTATCAACGGTAAACACAATCGGCCAAAAGATTTTTAAAAGTTTTAAGACAACAATGTTCTATCATCTCCTATCAATTTTTAAATAAACGTTTAATCTAGGCGAGAACCCTCGGTATTGGCTGGCGCTTTTCTGCTCTTATTCGATTACACTATTTTTATTTTTAAAATTGTCAATCTTCAATCTCCATTGCTATCGGCACGCCCCCTTTTTTAAAACAACATAACATAACATAAATATTTACAAAAAAAAAGTTATAAAAACGTTTGGTTTTAACAGGTTTTCAGATTTTTTTAGAATTATTTGACAAACGCTAATTTTTTTAGTTTTAAATGCCATTTTAATGGACTTATAATTACGCAATTTTTTTCTAATTTAATGGATCTTGTAGACACAAATAAAAATATAGATATGTATAATATGTATAATTAAAAGTATAAGTTTTTTAAATTTATTTATTTTGTACATATTATGTAGGTCATATTTTTATTTTACACTAGATTATTTAAAGGGATTTTTTGTATAATGTGTTAGGTATAGCTATTTTTATAAAATTTAATGAGAAAAGATGCGTTTGAGTTTTAATGCTAAATATAATTTTTTTCTTTTGGTATGATATTTTAAAATATAAATTAAAGAGAAGAGAAATATAAACATAAAGGTTTAAATATATTTTATTCTTTATTCTATAGAATAAAGAACAATATTCTATAGAATAAAGAACCATAAAGTAATTTTAACGTTATGTATACGTAAACATGTGGTATTTACTTTTTTTCTTTGCTCGCTTAAATAATAACTGTTAATGTAGTAAAAAATGATTAAGTAATTTTAACATTATGTTTACGTAAAAATCTGGTATTTATTTTTTTCTTTTGTTTGCTTAAATAATAATTGTTCATATGTAGTAAAAATAACGAAGTAAACCAATCTCTGTCTTTAGTAATTTTCCTATTACCGTAATTACCGTTATTTACCGTTTTCTTTACTGTAAAAAGAGCTTAGAAGTAAACAATGTTCACTAAAGATAAATTTATTTTAACTAACATAGAACTAATAACTATTATTTTAAAATATTGTATACGGATACAATTTTTTACTGTGGCAACATTGATTAATAATAATAATAATAATTGATCAACGGTAGTTTACTAGGAATACTAAGCTTAACCCTATAAACTTACTTCATTACTAAATAAATATTTAATATTTTTAAATCATTGTATAAAAAACAAAATTATTTAGTTTTTGTTTTAGTTTATTACTAAAAAAAAACATTTCTCAAAACTTTTTTAAAATCTTTGATTTTCATGTACATTTTGCATCTGGAAAATTGATATTACACTGAAAGAAATTTGTTGCTAAAAGTAAATACAAATTTATACTAAAAATTTTATACTAGTGCTTTACACATTTATACTACTGTTTATTATGAATGTATGTTAAATTTTGTAATACATTTATTGTAAAGAAGATATGTTAGATCTAAATAAAAATAAACTTACCCTTACTATAAAATGTAAACTATAAGTGAATTACAGCAAAAAAATATTGCTAGAAACACATTTATATTGCTAGGGCAGCAATAGGCTGCTAACAAAACGAATATATTTGTTTTAGCAATGTATGTGGTAGTCCATATATGAAACATAAAATATATTTGCCCTAATTATTTTTTTATTTAACTTTAGTATATATTTCTTTCAGTGTATTTTAATAATTACTCCAATTATTATTACTTTCTAACGATCGCTATTGAAACATAATTTTGTTCAGTGCCTACGTAGCAGTGCGTGGTATTTGCTTGACGATAGTCGTGTGAAAAGTAACGATTCACATTCTTGAATGAAAGAGAAACACTGCGGCATAGCGGTGACACGAGAACCCATATTGATCGGCAAACACCTGCTTTGTGTCAGAAAATGCACTAAAACAAAGCACTGAAGACTGGGCCGGTGCACTCGTTTTTTAATGGTTTTACAGAACTTTTTTTATAATTAAAAGTCCAATTTCTAAATTTAATTATAATTATATTAATTTAAAAAAATCGGTGGAAAAATGCAACCTAAAAGTAATTGTGGATTTTTTTTTAAATTAATTGCTTTTAAACTGAAAAACAATTACCTATGTACTTTGTATACTCAATACTCCTATCGCGCCATACCACCTGAAAAGGAGCTAAATTTTAAGTATAAAAAATAACAATTATTTTTAAGTTATTAGGCATAATATATTACCTTTTCCTTAACCATAGGCTTTTGCCTGATAGTAGCTAAATATGGATCTGGATAAATTAATAGATTTTTAATATATGAACATTCCACCAAGTATTCCCACCAAAAAATGTTATCAACTAGGATTTTAATAAAACATGGTAAAATCTTTAGACTTAAAATGAGGGTCGGTAAGTATGCAGAGTTAGAGGGGCTCAGGGTTTAAATTTTGTTCATGGCCTTTAATTTTCTTTAATTTTTAACGTTATCAAATATTTACATTTTTTACCGATGTCGTATAACCCTGTCTAAATGTGAATGAACTACTATTTTTAAGAGAGTACTTAAATAGCGTGTTTTTTAATTTTTAAAAAACTTAAATTGACTTTGCTGGGTTTGATATTAAACCCCTGCACTGAAAAAAATAATTTGTTTAAGCAACTAAAAAAAAGTTGCGCCAACAAATTTTATTTGTAGCTATAGCCTCAACTAAAATCTTTGTTACAACAACAATTTTTTTTTGTTGAGACATAATATGTTACTGTAAATAATATTTTTTGTTGACAAAACTATGGCGTCTTGTTTAAAGTAACTAATATTATTGATATCTCATACAATAATACTTTGTTGTTAAAACAGTTTACATTTGTTTTAGGTAATAATTTATTTGTTTTTATAACTTTTTGCATTTGTTTTCATTATAAATCTATTTGTTTTTTAAACAAAATAATTTGTTGGAAAAGCTATGGTAATGAGTAACTACAACATTGTTGCTTTGTTGTTATAACATTTGGTAGTTCTTTTAATCACCAAAAAATAATTTTTGTTAAAAGAACTTAAACAATATTAACCTATGCCTACACAATATTGTTAAAGCAACTCTTTCAGTATGTAATACTAATTAATAAAAAGAGTTGCATTAACAATATTGTGTAGGTATAGGTTAATATTGTTTGATTTTTTTTAACAAAAATTATTTTGGTACCTTTAAAAGTATTTTCTAATGAAGAAAATCCCCACTCGGTTAATATTTGGTTTACTCCTTCATCCATAACGCCCAATGCACAAAAATTAATTAACGCGAACCTGCTTCCTCTAGCATTTGCACAAAAATTTTTTGACAGTGACAAATTATTTTTTTATTATTCAATCACTATGACACCAAGACTTAACTTTAACCATGGCACCAAGTCGGTCAACTTTATAAAATAAATTTCAATGTCACGTCATGCCAATTTTGGGCGAAAATTGACAACAAAAATATATTTGTTATGTTTACTTAAGGATACCTATTAGCGGCGACGCATATTGTCAGTAGGGTAAACTAATTCTTTCCAACAAATTCATTTTTGTTGCAAATACTAATGTATTAAATACTTTACTTGGGTTAACAAATTTTTTATTAGGACCAACAAGAACAATTTCAACAAAAAATTTATTGGTTGATAAAACAGATTTGTTTTTTCAGTGTGGTGGTGTGTTTGATACTAGACCTCTGATATGATATAATATTATTTATTATAAAGCTTATCATACAGCATTTCTTTTCGTTATTTTTATCTGTATCTTTTTTATGTTAAATAAAATAAAGTGTATGTTTGCAAACACTTTATTTATTATTTTAGATCTAAACAATTTTTATTTAATTTTATAATATGGTAGCCGTCGTTGTCGTAGTTTTAGTTTACCCCAGTTTGTCTGGGTTTGAAGGTGCGATTTTCAAATTGAATATTGATATCGCGAATTCTCATATTGCCCGTTAAGAACTCCTGAAGGGTGCTAACACCTTGTCTTGGAAGCCTGTCAAAGGGATATCCCATAGAACGACGATCTGGATACAACTTGTCCTTAATACCGCAGTAACTTCCAGCATCATTACAAGCACCCTCAGTAGTTTGGTTAATCTATTAAAAAGTTAAAACAAGTCCTGATTGGAATGTTATTAGTAATATTATCTTACCCTGTCTCCTTCATAGTCGGATATCATTACAAACAGTTGACATGCATAGCCTTCAGCTTTACCCTTTGGTACTAGCATATGTTGTGGCCATCCGCAACCACAGAAGTTGAATTGGGCTAAAGCGTCTCCACCAGTGGGTCTTTCGTTATCCAAGTTGCGAAAAGTGCGTTCGAATGGAATGGTTACAGAGGAATCAGTTGATGAATGATTAATAGTATTTGTACCCTGTTTTACTGAAACACGCAATATATATTGTTAGTTAATAAATACAAAAAACAATGTTTTAAATTTTTACAGTTAACAGTAAACTTATCAAGTTCTACAAACATGTTCTTCTGATCGCGGAATGTCCATGGGTTACCCCTTTCATCAAATTTGGGGGCAATAAATATCCTGCAGGTTCCCTGCTTGTTTCCACCGGTATTGTTTACAGTGATTTTGTAATTAAAGTTCCTGTGTTGAAGATGAGTAAATCTTACAAATACTGAACCTCTAGGTTGAAAGTCCATTCCTCTAGAAAGATCAACATCTGATTGTTGCCAAAAGGTGTTTATTTGATTGGAACGTCCATTTGGGGTTTCGAGTTCAATGTCTTGGACGGTTACTTCATTAAAGTCCAACTATAAAAATACAAAAATGTTGGTGATTTTTTTAAATAATTATATATGTATTTACCTGTTGTGGAGTATATGTAGGTAAAGAGTTTTTAAATTGTTGAAAAATATAATCGACAAATGCATGCCAACGGTAAAAAATTGGATCCCTCATAGCAGTTGCTGAATCACCCATAACTCCAAAGGTTTCCAGATGACGATGATCTGGATCATGAATGTATGAGATTAATACATGTCCCATGTTATGCATATCACCATAGTAGGCCCGGTTTGGCGAAAGAATACTAGATTCCATGATATTTCCTAAAATGTCGATACCTTCATTTTCTGTCAGAGGAATTTCTTGACCTTGTTCCTAAAAGTTTATTTAAGTTTAAAAGTAGTAATTCAGAAATATTGTTTTTACATTTCGTATAACTCCGCTGTGAATAGCTTCCAAAATTCTATCCCTCCATCTGATTAGGTCATCAATATCCTGAGTGATTTGATCGGTTTCCCTTCTTATATTTGAAAGAGTTTGATTTGCTACTCTAGAAGGCCATGCCCTACTAGAAACCAAGCTGTCCAGTTTTGGGAAATACGCTTCTTTAATTGGACTCTTTAATTCTACTAAACGGTCTACTCTCTTGAGATCATTACAGAGACGTTCAAAATTGTATCTAGCAATAATTTGCTGATGCATGTAGTAAAACAACTCCCCTCTTCTATTTTTGTCCACAACAACACGGGCAGCTTCAAATGGGTAAACCAAATGCCAATGCCAGTGGTGAAGATTAATTCCCAAATCTTCTCTGAAGTAGGCTAGACGATGTTCTTCCTCTAAATCAGATGCAGTGTAATCCTTGGGAATTTCGATTGGAGTTCTGGATCCATCAGGAACAATGGTGGCTTGTTCCCTGGCTTCGCCAAGGACCTGACTGTCCAGGTATTTGTCAGGAAAAGAACTAATAAAAGAAGGCAAATCGATGTCCTGTGTATCAGGTCTGTGCAACAGGGCGACAGAAAGACAGTAGTTAAATAAGTAGGGGTTTACGCGATCTCTGGCATAGACAGCACAAGAAAGTAATTCCTCAACGTTACGCATTCCTATAATAAACAGTATAAAAAACATGTTTTAACAAAAATATGTAAACACAAACCAAGAAAAATGTCAATAAGCTTGCCGGCAATCCTGCGATGTTTAGGCAAGAAAAGGGAGAAGTTCTCGTTGCGTTTTAATTCCAAAATTTCACCAAGAGGTGGCAGTGATATTCTGGAGACGTTAATTTTTTCTCCAGCATCTTCTCCAAAACGGTTGACAATTTGAGTTGCCGCTGGCTTGTATTTATCTTCCTAACAAAGATAGATTTGTTTGTAAAAACTACAAGGTTTGTGCAATAGATTAAAAAAAACTTACCAAATAATTTTGAGGTACGTTAAAAACTGCTTTATTTTTTCCCTTTGCCATAAATACCGGCTCTTTGGGGCGATCAAACAACAACAAAAGATGTTTCTTGGATTCCATTTTTGGTGGTTTCTTTAAGTAAAAAAATGGTGAATACTTAAAAAAAAACTTATAAAGAAACGGTACGATTTTGTTTAGTAATTAAATTAAATTTTGACTTATGAGTTTAGTTACTCAGAAAAATGTTAAAAGTAGACTGAATGTTTGTGTAAAAATATCCACCTTATATTCCAATTTCATATCAGTAATAGGCCAATTAAATTAGGAGAGTATTATCTTGTTTTTCTTCTAATTTCCTGTTTTTTTGACAAAGGATGTGGTCAATTCACAATATTTTGTAGAAATTATCAAATTTTAAGGAATATATTTAGGTACTTTTAATAAACACCAAGATAAAGGTTAATTATTTTATTTATTACTGTGATTATTATAAAACTTCAAAAAAATATATAGTACAATTGCTAAAGTGGGTTTATATTGGTTGGGAACATTCTTTATAGCCTAGTACCTAGTAAGAACTAGGTGAACTAATTTTCTTAAATATAAATTAATTTATAGATTTATACTAAAATAACATAATAGTTTTTTTGTACCTAAGTTAAAGTAATTGTAAATTTTTAAATTAAATGGATTTAAATGAATCATTAAGGGCCAGTGTTCTTACACTGAGTGCTTTAAAGAATAAACGTAGGTTCAGCATTAATTCTTTTCATGTTTTGATTTGCATAACAAAATTTCCGTATCCTGTTTGAGGGAAATTTTACGCCAATCGGGCAACATCAAAATTAGTTTTTCGATTTTGTTTAAATGTGGGTATGGTATACCTAAGCATTGACCTTGGTTTTGTTTAGAGTTTTGGCTACGGATCGCTCAATATTTATGTTAAATGTATACCTAACCGTTTAAAGGTCTTCATGAAAAAAAATTGGAATGTTTTTGTGTGCCCTTTCTCGCTCTGAACTTATATTTAATTTTTCACAAAATTTACTTAATTAAAAAAATATTGAAAATGGCTTCAAAAATTAGTTTTATTATGATTATTATGCCTATACATTTTTTTAATTGGGGTTGGAACAGGTTTAGTTGCTATTGGCATCTGAACCTGTATTTAATTGTTAAAATTCGTTGATTGAAACACATGTATATTTCAAACGCGGATGCCCTGTTAAAAAAAATTGAAAAAAAATAATTGGAAATTTTAAAATCATTTTCGTCAATAATTAAAGTTTGAGTTGATAACGATAAATAAAAAATTAAATTTGCTTTAAATTCATTTTCTAATTTTTAGTCACGAAATCATACTGGTTATATAGGTACATATAACTAAGGCCCGGATTTTTAGGTCATAAAAAAGTGATAAAAGGTTCCTAAATTAGGTGATATTTTTAATAAAATGGGTTATTATTTTAGGTACCTATATTTTAGGTACTTAATTAAAAAGTTAATATTGGTTGGCCGCATTTTTAGGTTATAAAAAAGTAAAAAAAAAATGCAAAAAATAGGTCACATAGTTATAAAATTAGGTTATTATTTTAGGTACCTACATTTTAGGTACTTAAATAAAAAAATAAAATAAGCTGATTTATTGAAATAAAATGTTTTCATTATAATGTCGATATCGTTGTAAAACCATACATAGGTCTTATGTAGTTTTAGTTACATTATAATTGCTCTGTTAATGTCCGGCAATAAAGGATTTAAATTAAAAATGAAATAGTTATTAAAATAATATTTATTATTAACATTAACTGAACAAAAATGTTTGGTTGAAAAAATAACAAATAAAATAAAAGATTCTTTAAAAAAGTAAATATACCTATAATATCACAAATAATGTAAAATAGCAAAAAAAACATAATACCTAGGAAATTACAAAAAAAACAAAATAGGAACTCTAAAATCAAAAAAAATAAATTTTATTAATTTATTTAACGAATATATGCATGACAGACAAAATATTTCTCCAAGTTTTCAGAAGTAAAAGCTAGTGCGTTTATCAGTCAAAACATTTTTAAACCAAGAGAATGATTGTTCAACGTCACAGGACGGGTAAAAAAAGTTCATTTTAGGTATTAAAAATACAATTTAGGTGCAAAAAAGGAAAATAGGTGAAAAAAATATAAAAAAGGTATTTTAGGTCAAATAAAACTTAGTCAGATGACTCCATTTTTTATAAAACGGGCAAATACAAAAAAATATCTTTAAAACCTAAAAAACCAACAAAAGGTGTTTTACCTAAAATCCGGGCCTTACATATAACATACATAACGCGCGGCTCTTAACTAAAACATTAAATTTTATAAAACTTTCTCAAAATTAAATTGTTTTTCTATGGTACTTTTTGGAAACGTAGAAAAAGTATAGTCTGAAACAAGTTTGGAATTGCAATTACGCTCTCGTGAAACCGTCAAACTCGCCTTCGGCTCGTGTGACAAACTTTTCACTCAAGCGGAATATTCCGTATTCCAAACTTGTTACAGAATATACTATTTCGCAATACTAATGTAATGCAATAATTAAAACAACAATGAATATTTATCACAATTGCCATTTTCTTACATTGAAAAAATTGTCAAAATCAAATTGGATCAGTAATTTAACATTTCAAAGATTGCAAAACGTTGTCTTTCAGGATTAAATAAAAAATCTCCCTGTTTGGTAAGTTTTATTCAGGTTTCAGGTGAAATAACAATAAGAAACTGATCATGATAGTAATAATAGAAGTAATACGTATAAAACATGTAAAACTAAAACTAACGAAATTAGTTTAACTAACGATTGACGATTGAATTAGTTTTCGTCATGTAAAAGATTGAAATAATCAATTGAATTAGTTTAGTTTTCAATCTTGATTAAAATTTTGTTTGAAATAGTAATATCGTGGAAAACGCAAAGTAAACGATTAATTAAATTATACAAATACACTTATAAGTCATACATAGTGTGCAAAAAAACAAGTCCTATACAGGGTGTCCCAGAATATGTGGGCAATCTCCCGGATTTAGATATAACACATAAAAATAAGATGACAAGTTCCTATACATTTTACCTACGGCCCCCCTATGGTGGTACCGGCCCATAACGGACGCCCCTGGAAATCGTTTTTTTTTTGTTATTATTATTATTTGTATGTGTTCTATTTGAATCCGGGAGATTGTAGACATATATACAAAATATAAATAATCTTTTATTTACTTATGCTATTTTTTTAAAATTTATTAACATATAATTAAACAGATAATTTTTTCTTGGTTAGGTACGTAAATGTTTAAATTAATTTTCATGCCGACTCTTTTCTCAAAAATCTCATCGGATAGTTTGTGTGATTTTGTTGCATGGGAAAACATTCGTTCAAACGACGGTATAGGCGTATTGTACTTTACAAAGACAGTTTTCATAAGAGGATATCGATACATATATTCCGTAAAGTGTTACAGAATGAAATATTCTATAATCTGATGACAGAATAAACACTCGTGGCGACCAGGGGCGTGCTGGGCCGCCGGGACACCGGGAGAAATCCCGGTGGGCCGGTGGTACGGAGGGCTAAGTGGGCCGGTGTGCCGGAGGGCTATGTAGGCTGCATGCCTCAGCACGTGGTCAATTAAAAACTTTTTTAGTTGAGTTATGTATAAATATCATAATTATTTTACACATACCATGCATGCCAGCCTGCCAGCTTTGTTTCTTTTTTCGAGATTGTATATTGTTTATAAGTTTCCTGAGCGATGATAATTTGTATTAGTTTTTATTTTAAGTGCAATGCTATATGTTTTAGCATTGTGTAAAATATTGTCTGGTTGTGTTTGTTGCCTGTTTGTTTTTCAAGAATTTAATTTATACTTTATGTTATTAATTATTAATAAATGTTTGAAATTTTTTAACTTGGTTTTGTTCACCCCCCATTTTTCGTGTGTAGTTGGCTGATTTTTCTGAATTTCCCGGGCCGGTCTGATATATCCAGCACGCCCCTGGTGGCGACATCTCTGTTTTTAATATTTTAGACCGATCCAACCTCACTTTCTTCCAATTAAATTATTTGTCTATGGTATTTTTTGGAAACGTAGAAAAAGTATAGTCTGAAACACGTTTGGGATTGCATATTCCCCTCTCGTGAATAGGGCCGGGCCTAAGGGGGTGTAGGGGGGGAGTCAGCCCCCCAAAGTGTAGGCAGTTGGTTCCAAATCCAAACACGGTTGACAAAATATATAGTTGGGTATACATACCATGCCAACCAAGCCATCACAATAAATAAAATAAAATATAATTTTTAAACTAAACATATTACAAAACTACTATAATCGTTACCGTCAAGAAAATTGTATTGGTCAACCCTGTGTTTACTTAAGGACATTATATTTCAAACAAAGCGTACAAAGGCTTTGTCTTTGACTTTGGCAACGTTTGACTCGGCGTCTTATTTTTCTAGATTATTAATTAGTTGAAGCTTAGTAAAACTAGTGTCAATAAATAGGAATTAATTTGTTTTTTTAATATGGAAAAGAAAGCTAGACCGGGCCGAGTTCTAGTAAAATGCTCATTATGTGGATCTGTGTTTAACAAGGACTATAAAAAAATGCATGAAAAAAATATTCACGGTGGAAATTTGTTTAAAATTAAACGTGTTGCTGTTCCTGAAAATCCATTTACATTGGCAACAAGTCAAAAAAAGAGAGAACAAGAATCAATCCCATCGACTTCGAACGAGCATGCTAATGGTAGGTAAAGACATTCTTTATCTACGCTTTACAGCACTTTACCTACATGATAAAACTACTGAAAATTTTTACTATTACTACCGAAGTATCGATACAATTTTTTGAAAATATTTTTACAAATATCAACGTCGACAGTAGTACAAAAGGAAAAGCATATGGCCTTTTTAAACGCATTTTAAATTTTGATTTTGTTTGTTGTTTTTTTTTAAGATGAAGGTTGTTACCGAAATTCTAGAATGTTATTGATGCATTTTCATTTATAAATACACTCATCAACTTTTATACTGCATTACCCTGTATTTCTTAATTTAGAACTGTATATTTTATTTTTATACTTTTAGTTCAAACTGTGGTT